TGTACAAGATGCATGGATTTATGGAGGCAAATAAAGAGGGTGGTGACTGTGTGAGACCAGCAAAAGAGTTGTTTGCTGCGGAACTGCCACAAAAAAAAAACAAACCTGGGAAATGTCAAATTGGAATTTCACGTCCATTGAAAAGCAAGGAGCAGAGTTGTAACTGATAGATCTGTAACTGTTTCCTTGTGCGTTTGACAGAAGAGAAAGTAGGAGCCTGCCACAGGAAATCAGGTGTCAAAAAATTATCTGTAGAATGGTCTCCAGCTACTTTACACTCATCTTCCCACTACGCTCTGCTAAACCTACCGCCAAGAACAAACTGGTGCGCAGCAAGATCGAGCTTATCCACTCCTTAGTCATGGTTGAAAGCCAGCTACAAGGTTTTAATTTTGATGCCATAGGTCTCTTGGGACAGCTTTGTTGTTGCACTTCTGTTCCCTGGGATTATAGTGTTGATAAGATGATCCTTATCAAGAAATGATGCTTCAGCAAGAGCTCGGGATCTGAGTGACTTGTCAGGAGGTTTTTGTTGGAAGGGGAGCTCCCCTTTAAATGAGGAGGCATTAGTTCCGTCTCCCTCTGACATCACCTGTAATTTTACATTGTGGATATAGCTATTACTCTGGAATTCGGTATGCTTTACAGGTGGAGCCCAAACAAACATCTCGCGTGTCAACACAGATGTTGTCCTCTAGAACAGTGAAATCACTCAGAACAGTAACGCTTCAAGTCCATCATTAGATGAGATCAGAAAAGTATAGACGATTTAAAAGACATTTGTTCACAAAACACTATACCCCCTTGTTAACCTTTTATGGGATATTCAGTATTGAAGAACACGGGAGCTGGTCTTGGCTCAGATTTGATAAAAGCAGAGGAGAAATTTTGAGGCTTGGGGCAAACCAGAGCAGTGGTGAGTAAACATGTTGTGGTAACACTCTTGCATTGTCTTACAGTGCATAATCAAGCAGGTCTTTAGTAATAGCCTTGCAATGGGCACTCAGGTAGTTATGTAATAATTTCCTGTACGGCCGGCATTTGATGGAAAGGATGCTTTAAAATTGTGTTTGTGGTCTCAACAAGGGGCTGGTGAGAGACAGCCAGTAAAACACGTCAAAAATAGAAGTTCTTCCCTGTTGTAGTCCTTTAATGTTACACTGGCAGTACAGAGGGATGCATTTACTATGTTGTACTCACATCATATGGTCCAAAAACCAGGGTCAGGGGTCAGCGATCAGGATTCATTCTTTCCTTATGAGATGTTGGAGGTAGTAGTGTACAGTAGAACTGTGGGAGCAGGAACAGAAACCTGGCTGAGCACCCAACTTCCAGAAGAAGCCATGCTGCTTCTAGTTTTTCCTCAGTTGGTCAATCATTTATTCTTTCTCCACTCTAGCTTGGATTCAACAGGAATGATGTTGAATTAGCTTGTATCCTGCCCACCCAGCTAGCTGGTGTAAAGTTTGCTCACTCTTTGTGGACCCAGCTACTTTGCTCTGTCCTCAGTCAAATCTGTACTGTTAATACCTGTTTTGTAGGTTTTAAAAATATACTTTTGGACATTTAAGTATTTTAATTTCTTTCTAAAGCTCTTTTTTTAGTGTCTACATTGAACTTAATAAGTTACTATGTTCATTTTTAGTGTAGTTTGAGCAACCAAAGTTAAAGGCACTGGTCTTTCAGCCGGCAAATAATTTTCTGTTACATAAAAATGGGGATGGAGGAAGAGAAATCAGTGGGAAGTGACATTGTTTACATTGACCAATGTAACATCCCACTACTATTAGGAGACAATTCTGAAAATGCTGAATAACGTAAGACACAGACTCAATTGTCATTTGATGGGGATTCCACTGCTGATGAATACTTTTTTGTCATGTCAGCTGACAACATCATTCATTTCATATGTGCTCCACTATAAAGAGCTTTATTTTTTAATCAAAATGTCAACTGGCATTGTAATATACTTTAATAACCCCCACAGGCCAGCTTAATTTTGGGTTGTTCCCAAGAGTGCTTTTGCCTGTGCCAGCATTTTCACAGTCATCCTGTTAGCAGGGAGCCAGCTGGTCCTGCTGGAGACCAGGCTGGTGGTAAGAACATACGGTGAGCAATTTATCTAGCTGCTGCATCTGCAGTTACTTGTGTTTCGGGACTTTGGAATAATCTTCAATCTCTTCCAGTCCTTTCGATTTCCCCTTGTCTTTCAAGAGTTATGAAAAATGAGTATCAGGAGGCCAGAGGCAATTTCAGCTGGTCCTTAAAAGAATTTTGGGTACAAGAAGATACCTGGGCATGTTGATCTTAAAATGTTAGTAGATTATATGATCCCTTGATCACTCGGTTCCAGTCAGTGATGAACAGATCCAAATTCATCCCCATATGCAGGGCTTACTACTACATTTACTATGGGTATGGACATTTTATCTGCAATTTTAAACCAGTTTTGCTACTGGCTGTAGTAGTCTGTGTGAAGCCCCCATAACAACACAAAAACCCCTCCCTTTCTTCTCCCTGTGTTGAAGCCTGAAGGAGTTATTCCAAGTACTGCTCAGTGTTTGTGATTCAGCAGCCTGAGGCAAGCCCTTAACATGGCCTTCTGAGCTCTCTCAGCACAGCGTCCTTCCCAGGCATTGAGGATTTGTAGACCTTGCTCTTATCAGCAACTTTAGACAATTAATAACTTCTTTACTACAGAGGAGCACCACACCATCAGCTTTATCCTTCTTAAACTCCTTCTAAGCAGAGATTTTAATATCTGAATCATGCAGACTATTCCTTTTATTTCTTTCTTGTTATTGATAAAATCTCCTTTCAGTGAGAACTTCCAGATTTTCCTATATCTTAGTCAGGCACCAGTCACCAGGATATAAACAATTCCATATTAATTCTTGTCACACTCTTCGCCACATTGGTTTCATTCCTTTGTGCCGTGCTGAGCATCATTTAATACAGTGCTTGCTTCCTATGAGCTCCTAGTTTACTATCCTTCCAGCTTGTGCATTGCGTATTAAACCGAGTTTAACCATCAGTTAAACCCATAAGTTTTTGCACTTTGTCCCATCTGATTCTCTCCCTGATCCTGCTGCAGGGGAGTGAGTGAGCGGCTGTGTGGGGCTCACTGCCTGCTGGAGTTAAACCACAACAGTCCTTTTTGGTGCCCAATGTGGAGTTCGAAGGTTTTGAGATAAGGACAGATTTGCAAGACCAGATTTATAGCTGTTACAGCTCCTCATCAGCTGGGCTTGCCTTGGGGCTTGCTTGCCTTACTGCATGTTAGAGTCTAGAGCTTGTTCGGGGATGCTCTTTGCTTTTGCTGTTTGCAGTACTCCTTGTCATCCATAACTCTGAACAGAGCTGTGCTTTACATCAGTCCACCCCTATATTCTAGCCAGGGCTTCAAAGAAGAAAAACAAAAGTGGAGTGGGTAGCGCATAACAGGTTTGCTCATATAAGCATACAGCTGAAGACATAAAGTCAGAAAAGCCTGAACTTCCTGTGCTTGATGATCTTGGCACCGACTGTGGCACTTACAATTTGTTTTTTGTAGGTACTTGTTCCGGCGTTGGAGCAGAAAAATTTACTCGTTAAACAAGTAGTAACCTGATGGAGGCAAATAAAAGCTATACGCAGTTCTGGATTACTGAACCTCATTGCAATGTTTAAATCGCTGGCCAATGCTCAAGAATCTTAAAGTCAGCCAGCAATGCTGGAGTGCTCTTGCACCACTACCTGCTGTCTGGCACGCAAGGCCAGCTGTAGGGACAACCTAAGTAGGGAACTTATCACTGGGGCCATGCAGCCCACTTGGCCTTTGCCAGGGCTGGAAGATGTGAAAGAAGGGTGTGTTGGCACGGTTGTGTGGATGACGGGCAAAGAGCTGCTTTTCCCAGCAGTACTGAACGCTGTCCCAGGCACTTCCAGCCCGCGGGAAGGAGCCGTGAGTGCCCAGGTTTTGCCTTCCAGCTCTTTGTCCAGCTCAGCTGCTCACTCCACTGTTTGTTCCCCCAAACTGAGAGGGAGCGGAAGCCCAGGAGGGACTCTGCAGAGGATCGGGAGAGCCCAGACCTCTGGTAGCACTCTTCGTGGCTAACGCCACTGAAAAGACTTATCACTTGTCCTCTTTTGAGCTTCTGAAAAGTAAGCCATACTTAGAGAGAAATCATCTGATAAATAGCCTTGACAGTGAATGTGCTCTGTGTTGCATGGATCCCGAGGATTCCTTGGGCTCAAGCCCTCATCCTTTCAGCCCCTATTATCTGGCTGTATAAAAAAAATCTAATAATACATATAGTCTATAATAAAAAATACGCAGGATAATCCCATCACCCTTTACAGGCAGTAGTGGATGGCAATTGGATGGCAGTGGCCAGCAGCTATCTTAGCATGACAGAGACAAAATGTTTGACTCTGTGCTATACCAAAACAGGCATCAGCTATATCTACAGAAAGCTTTTTTCCTCGATTGAGAAACTTCCAGGATTAGAGAAATTGGAGCCTTTTTTTTTTTTTCTCCTCCATGCAGGACGTGATAGGGAGAAAAGAATTCTGCCCTTCAGGACAGATACCGATGATCGATCTAAGCTGCCTTGCCTATGAACTGGAAGAATGGATTGTTGTGATGTACCTGAAGAAGTACCTTTTTCACGGGGTCATCATCTCACTGACAATAAGTGCAATATTAGTTTTTTTTATAGTTCCTTTATCAATCCTCTTTTTCATTTACCTTAGTAATATTTTGCTTTTAATATATCAGAGGAACGGTGAGGTAAAAGGAGATCCCTTGAGTGATGTCTGGGATACTGCAAGGAAAACTTTAGCAAGCTTTTGGGATATATATGCAAGAATATGGCATGGTAAGTATGACATGACTTGTCTGAAGGTTTGAATGACAATAAATAGTAGATACACGTAAGGGTTGATTTTTTTTTTTTTATTTCTTCCAAATGGATGCAAAGAAATTACATTTATTTTACTTCGTACGGCATTTAACCCAAAAGTTTCTGCCTCAAAGGCTGATTGCAATATAGAATAAGCAGAATGAAAGGGAGAAATTGGTTTCTATAGGGTACATTTCTCTGAAGTGGATAGGCACATACACTTCTCTGTATATGGTATAAGTGACGCGCTGTGTTAGTTTTAGTAACGTAGCTGCAAGGGAAACGTGTGATTTATTTTTTACCTTAGCAGCTGCTTAAAACCTACTTAATAAATGTTCAAAACACAACAACTAGCTGGAAATGTAATGAGTATATTTTTAGTTGGTGAAAATGATTTTGTGTTATGTCAATTGAAAATAATTTTAAGAGCTGCATGGACAAAAAAATAATTAGACACTACATGTAAGTTTGTACTATGGCAGAATTTAAAAGTAATTTGATTTTTCAGTTTCATTACACTCAACCTTCAGATACTTTCAACACACCCTGCTCCCTAGGAAAATCCTCAGCTGCATTCTAGGCACTTGTTCTTCCCACAGATGTAGTTTAAGACTTAACTTTGCTGCCCTAAGGATGAAGAAGAAAAGGTTCTTTATGTTGCTATGCTTCCTCATAGCTTTATCCTTTAATCTTTGAACATCCTGCAGGATAGAAATTTCTCCACCTCTTCCTAGGACTCTGCCTGCTCCGTCAGCATCCTTCTGCCCAAACAGCTCAGGACAGGAGCTGTAGCAGGGAAGGAGATGAAGGCAGTCAAGGTGGAATAGAGCTCTTAGTTCGTAGAAGCTGTGGCTTTCCCAAGCCTTTGTATACATTAGCCTCCTACTCTGGCTCCACCTAATACCTCAGTCAACTATAGAAAGAGCCAGGAGAGGGATTTACAGAAGTCCATGTTTGTGAGGAATTTCCCCTCCACTGTGCAGTGAATGCATTTAACTCTCATGGAAAAAACCTCTCTTTGGGATTCTTACGGATTCCGGTTTGGACCAACATCTCAACCAGTGAAACTTTTTATTATGGAAAATCCCAAACTTTTCATTCTCCCTGACACAGAATGGAGATTTACACTTTCATATTTTAGGAATACATCCTGACTTCTTGTCTGCCTTTCATTCTGCCAATGAAGCAGTGTCATACCAGTATAGTGTTTTTTTCTTTATTATTGCACTTTGGACTGGGAAAAGTTCCTCATGGGAAATAATTAATTTCGTCCCCTTGCTGGGGAAAATGTCAGGTTCATGTCTGATCCAGTGATTAAACTGACCAACAAATTTGTCCACCTGTCATGTTGGAGGGGGCTTCTCTTTGCTATTGACCAAAAGTTCCATCCAGAACTTAATTTAAAAGCTACTGCTGCGGCTTTCATAACTCTTTGAAAGTCATTGAACAAAGTAGAGTTAAGAGTTTTCTCTAAATTGCCAGATGATTTACTGACATCATTGTCAGTGTGTTGCTTTCCATCCCAAACAGGTTATGAACTTCATGGTGTGGAAAACCTACCAGAAGGACCAGGCATTCTTGTGTATTACCACGGAGCTATTCCTATAGACTACCTTTACTTTCTGTCTAGGCTGTTTCTCTGGAAGAAAAGACTTTGTTTGTCAGTGGCCGATCATTTTGTCTTTCGTTTACCAGGTAAGAACATGTTGTATGTAGGCATCCTGGATTCATTCAACCTGTTGCTGCTTTTGATGAAATTTACATTTTATTACACTCTAAAGAGAGCTTTAAATGAAAAGACTTTTAAATTAAAAGCTCGTAACAGGGTAGGATATCCTGTCTTTTAAGTGAAAGGTCATAAAAACACTCGTAGACCCTCCAAAGCCAACAAATAGACATTATATAGTCCCGTTGGGATGAAATGTCATGCCTCAGTGGAAAGTGCAGGATAAGACTATATTGTTGACCTAATGCTGGGTGGTCAGCAATGAGCGGTGAGTTGCCAAAGAGCCCGGGAAATGGCAGGATATCAGTTACCTACTTGTCCTCTACGCTCAGTAGCCATTGCCGTGGGGTATGACGTCAAATCTATCATCTGATCAAAGCCTGGAGTAGGACAAAAAAAGGTGTTTGAAGATTCTGCTGTTGAAGAGAGCTCTAATACTGACCATCACAACAGGTTCAACGCATTGGAGCCTGAGAGAGAAAGAAGTAATTCCATTATGAAAAGGAGAACATACAGAAATGAAAACCTGATTAATTTTAGAAAAACAAGGCAGAAAGAAGGAGTATCCGGAAGGATGGTGCCCACATCCTCAGTACTGTGTGGAATTCTGGTCTCCCCATCTCAGAAAAGCTGCAAAGTAATAAAGATACAAAAAAGGACAGGGATGATCAGGCGCCTGCCTTTGAAAAGCCAGTATGTAGGACGGAAGTCTTGAATGGCTGAGGGATATAAAACGCTCGTGTGACCTGGGAAAGGGGAATAAGAAGAGACAATATGTTCATGTGATAAATAATCTTAATTTTTAACAGGCAAAAGCGTTCAAGCCAAGCAAAGGCAGAACCTATTAATAAGGCTGTGGCATCCATGGGTGCAGGATAAAACAGGAATACATAGGAGTTCACAAAGGCATTAAGGAAACTCAACACCTGACTTTGACAGAAAGATCTATCAAACATGATGCCTTGAATAAGTTGAAATGCAATTAAATTACAAGATGCGGCACTGTGTTTTCCACTATCTTCCCAAGTTTCTGTTGCAGACCTTTGTCAAAGGTGGAGTGCTGGATACCAGCTCTGCCAGTCCATAGCTGTTGCTTACATTCATTCATATAAACAATTTCTTTTCAAATTATGCTGTTGGAATGGTGAATTTGAGGACTAGGGAACCTCTCCTTTGCTGAAGCTCTCTATGGGAGTTCCAAACTGAGAGAATTCAAATGAGAAGATAATACGAGAAAGCACAGAGTGCTTCTATGGTTCTCAGTCTGTCTTCTGGAGAAATCCCCGTCACAGAAACAAAGGAAGGAGATTCACTGAACTGTTTATGCTGTGCTGAAACTGCCCTGCTAACTTCTGCCATTCATGCATCTTAAAGAGTCCTACTGCAGTCCAATTTGAGCCACGTAGTTTGGAATTTAACCACAAAATACACCATTGAACAACCCAGAACCTCAATGTTTCAAATGTTAAACATCACATTGTAAAAGAACACTAAAAATAGTTGCTTGTCATGTATTTATTTTTGTAGTAATCTTTATTGTACTGAAAAATTATATCTTTTTTCTGTATTAAAATATTTTAAAAGGAAGAGGGAGGAATAGATGTTTATTTTCAGATTTCTAGCTATGATGCACACGTTTCGGTTGCATGGCTGGTGTTTTGATAATTATGGAAAATAGCATGTGGAAGCATTAGTTTATTGAGATGCTCCTGATAAGCTAGTTCATCTTCATAACATTTGGGCATAAACACCATCATGTATTTGTCATTTTGCCAATATTTATTCTATGTGGGTTTTACTTCCTTTGCACAAATTTGCCTTAGTCTAAATATAGAGCTAGTAGATTTTTATTTAGCTGTAATCTTGTTTCTACCTGCAAGCAGTACTTGTGATATATTGTGATAATAATATGTTTTTGCTAATTATTTATTCCAGGACTTAAATTATTACTGGAAGTGACAGGTGTTATGCCAGGTACAAGGGAGGAGTGTCTCATTGCACTGAAGAATGGATACTTGGTGTCCGTCTCACCAGGTGGACTTAGAGAAGCATTATTCAGTGATGAAAGTTATCAGCTTGTGTGGGGAAATCGAAAGGGCTTTGCTCAGGTTGCTCTAGAAGCAAAAGTGGTGAGTATTATATGTTACCAATCCCAGTCTGTGCTTATTGCATACATGCCTCATGATCCAATGCAGCTTGAGACTGTTTGTTGGAAAATCTTCCCGAGAGAAGAAAAGGGTCAGGAGTAAATATTTATTTTCCTTTTCCCACCACTTTCCTCAAGCATGTTAATCCGCAGGGAGCAAGGGTTTTATGGAACTGTACAGCTTTTTCTTGACTGTTGCAAGGCATCCATCCCTACAGTTCCACCACGCAGGCATCCCATTTCTTGTCTTGACTGTATTTCAGGAATCTTCGCTGTGGCCCTTCTCCACATTGCTGTAAGGTTTGATTCTTTTTTTCTCATCCTACTAGACTTATATCTTTATCTTACTTCTACAAGCCCAGTCATTTTATTACGGCGCTTTAATGTATTATCTTTATTTTCTTTCTTCTCATATATTCCGGGAGGGTCCAGGATTTTATTTTTACCCTTCCTTTTCTTACAAGGTGTGTCTACATCAGTGTCTGAATTTGAATCACATGTGCACTTTTGAAGCAGTTTTTCCATCTCCCTTTCTCACCATGCTTTCATTCACATCATGGAATGTGTTAGAAGATGGGAGCTGCATTCCTTTTGCCTGAAACTAAACCAGAAGTGGGACCTAATACTCTCCAGTTGCAAATGGACATTCAGTCAATGGTACTAGACAAGAATTTGTTCTAGACAAAAACAGAGCACTGAAATGTGTTCAGTGTTGATGTCAGATCCTCAGCATCCTCTAGAGAAGTGCATCTATGGCTTTGCACTCCACTGATGTACACGTGGCCACAGTCTCAGCTATATTTTCCAAATGGATTATGATCTACAGATACAAACTTCTACCACTGGCTCTGACTTCTTCCATAGAATTCCACATGTGAGATTGTTTCTCTGATATTTTCTCTGGGAAATAATTTTATTTGGGATGGCATAGAGCTGCAAGAGCAGTAACCCTGTCTTTTTCCTAAATGCCACTTCTCATCATCATCATCACCACTAGTGATGAGTTTTCTGCCTTAATTTAGACTCAGCATACCTAGTGTGCTTTGTGTCTGCCAATACTGGTACACATCCAGGCTTCATCTGTTCTGCCGTGAGCTTTCTGCTGCTGTCTCATGAATTGCATAACCATCATTTCTCTTTACGTTCTTACAAATATCTCATCAATTGCGGTGCTCTTCTTTGGCCTTCCACATAAATGTAATGCTTTTCTGGCTGTCTAGGAGAATCTGTGCAGGGAAAGTTGAGTTCTTCCCATGAAACTTGAATTTCTTACCATGGCTTTATTTTGTGCAGTTATATCTCTTTCTTACCCCATGCAGTTTGTTGCTTCTCAAATTTTGCTTTGCTGTCTTGTGCTAGAGCTCCTACTACAATGCACCTAGGGTTGCAGAATGCATGTTTCAGGTTAATATTTCTTCATAACTTTATCTCTGAAATCTTGTGCAGAGATAACTAAACTAGGATAAATTTGGAGATTTGATTACCAAATGGACAAAGTAACTTTAAGCTGGGAGTCCTATTTCTACCTCTTAGTTTTGTTCTGTGGCCTTTTAAAAGTCATGCTTTACGTGTTTCTGTTCCTCTCCCATCCTTTCTCTCAAAAAGCATGGGCTTGTAAATATTAGTCACAATACTTAATAGATTGTGTGGGTCTGTAAACCAATACCACTAGGAAAATATGGGAATCCAAATCAGATTCATATGGGCATTTTGAATTCCCTTATAGTCCTTCCTCTTCTTTATTAATTTAATGATCTACTCCAACAGTCAGAAGGAGATGTCACTTTAACAACCTGAGTGAGTTCTAATGATTCTGTTTTCATATCTGCCTTTCAAGTTACCCCAAACATTTAAACAATCTTTTGCCAGATGTTTTCACTTCACTTGGAACTTTACAGTGTACTTCTACAATGTCATACATATATTTTTAAAAATAAAAATTGGATTTAAAAATATGAGCACCCTTAACAGAGAGTGCTCCCCTTATGAAAATACATCACAAAAAATCCTCGCTAGTAGTCCTTATAATCATTCCAATCTTCCATAATTTAGAAGTACATGGAAATAACTGAACAGTAGTACCTGCAATTGCTGGCACCTTCTATTACCACGGTTTGGTTTGGGTTTTTTTGTGAAATGTTCTTGTGGTCATCTGTATAACGGTGTTTGGTGAAACAGGCACCATGTGGGTTTATCTGTTACCTGGAGGGCAGAGAGAATATTTTCTCCTTTGTCACCTACTAGCCTGAGCTCGCCTTTACTGTGACTGCTGCTGGCTCTTGTATCACTTACTACCACCTCATTCGGGGTTGGGTTTTTTTATGATCAAGAAGTCTGACTGGATCTCAGTATGGTGGGCATCACTGTAATTAGTTTGCAGGCTCCACTGCAAAATTTTGGCCATGTGTTATATTTCTATGGAAATCTGTGATCAGACACACCTTAGATAACTAAACACTAAAAAAAAGTGCATTTAGCAGTAGAGGGGGCAATATAACCTATTTCTGATATAAAGTTAGACCCATAGGAGTAACTGGATTCCATCTGGTGACAAATTTGCGCTTTGATTGCTCCAGTTTGTTCTTGCTGCATCCTTTTCAATACTGGCCAAACCAGTCTTGTAGGTTGACTGAAGACTGGGGATAGACTCATCTAAATTGACAGAACTTGCTCTGTAATGTAGCAATTCATGTATGCTTTGCTAATACTTATTTGGATACTGGATGGAGGTGAGAGAGGACTAGAAGTGCCTTGTTTGGAATTTATTCTACATAAGTGTGTAGCCATCAACCAAAGAACGACAGACCCTTTACAGCATCCATACTGACTACGTGGTGGTTCGTAACCTGCCACAGGGGGCTTGAATGGGGATTTCAAGAAAAAAGTAACTTTATTGAATGGGGATTTCAAGGAAAAAGTAACTTTTTATATGAATAGGTACTCCCATTCTTATTATGGTGTTATGGAAGTTCAACAGGTCTTCCATTGAGAAAGTTAAAGAAAAGCAGACAAGGAATGGAGTTTCAGCCTCAGTCCTTGCCTGCAGGTTTCCACATTCAGTTTCCACTTCGTCTTGGGTAACTACTCTGCTTACTTGGGGTCAGAGAACGAAAGTGTTACTACTTAATGTAATGTTCTGGCTCAGTGAAGTTCTGAGACCTATATTTGTCTCAGGTGAATTTATGTTGCCCAGGGGCTTGAGTTTCAGAAATACCCTCTGCCTGTGGCTGGAGTTTGACAGGCTAATGGGGAGGAGTCATAGTTTCTAAAGATCCCTGAATTTTATCTGTGCCAATAAATCATTTCAAATCTAGTTAGGTAAAAGCTAAACAGGAACTATGGTTTAGAAAATTCTCAAAAAAATAGAAAAACCCTATACACCAGCACACAGTGGGGGCTGACCAGCCCGTGCAGGAGGTTTTGGACTAGTGCAGAGGTCCCTTCCACCCTCAGCTGTCCTGTGATTCTGCGCTGTTCAAGCTGGCCAGGTGTGATCCAGCTCAGCTCCAGCAAATCTAAATCTTTGGGTTCCTGCGGATCTGATCGTGCTGCTTTACAGACACAAGCTTTTACGTGGGTACCCATTTTTATCAGCGTAGGGACCAAGTGCTGCCACCCACTCTGGACTTTGTTGTCTGATCACTGTATACAAGTACCTTCCGTAGCTGCTAGATTTCTTCATAGCCTAAGAAATGTTTCTCTTGCACTATTCTTAAAATTTAAAGTGTTTTGTCTGTATGATACGTGGGCTTCAAATATTTTAAATGTTAGACATACAGTATGCAATCAATAGCTGAAGCCAAGTGTGGTATTTTTAGTGTCCAGTAGTTGTAAGCTTTTAAAAGATGTTCCTGATTAAGGGTTTATTTCTAATAATTTCAAATAATTTCTCATTCTCAGGGGTTTACTATTACTACTTGATGTATGTTTGATATTTTTCTTATCTGTCAGGTTTTTTTTTTTTCTTTTAAATGTTTTCCATCGCTTTGAGTTCTTTGTTAGGCTCTAGTCAGGTCTTTTTCTTGCTTGGTTTTTTTTCGTCCTGTGGTTTCTGTTCTGTGGTAGTGATTCTTAACAGCATAAAGGTGTTCTTTCATTACCTTGTAGAAAAGTAGTTCCAGCAACATGCTCAAAATATGGTTTAAAAAAAGATGAAAAGGGACAAGAGAGGGGGAAAATAGTCATTGTATATATGGATCCAATCACTGTTAGTTTGTCTACAAGCTACGAAATCTTACCTCGCGCTGTAAGACATGAGTGTTTCAAGTTCAGGTATCTCAAGTGTCTTTCTTTTGAGTTATACTAATTAAGTGAACTTGTTCTGTACCTGCCTAAGGATCTGCCCTCCAGAAGGTGTGTAGTCCATGTCAATGAGGATGTACAATTGCTTTATTTGTCCAAGGGATCTGCAGAAAGTGTTTTGCAGTGGGGTATTGTCTGAGCATTACTGCCTCAGTGAGACATTACTTTCAGAAGCCGATGAGACAAGCCAGACATGTGAATGTCTACTTGCTTTCTGCAAGACTTCACAAACTGAGTACTTTCCTGTTCCCCACACACGATGCAGGCTTTAGACAGAGATACTGCAAAACTTCATGTTTCAGTCAGCAATATGGCAATAAATGTACAACACGCAAGTTATTTTTTTTAGAATGTCAGTCAATTTTTATAATGCACATTCAAAATGAAAGATATAAACCTGTAATACAATGTCAGTCATTTTCCTTTCAGATGGTGAATTTAAAACAGCGATGCTTGTGGGAGCTCAGAAACAGAGTTGATTTCTCTTCTGCAGTTTATTTTTTATAACAAGACTCCTTCTTTCCTACCTAACTGACTGACAATTATCCTCTGTATTCAAGTGATTTTCATAGTTGCATTAACAGGCACTAAAACGTAAATTCAAGTTTGGTATAACATTTCCACCTTTTTGGTTTTTTGTGATTCCTCAGCCCATCATTCCAATGTATACTCAAAATGTCCGGGAAGGATATAGGACCTTTCTTAAAGAAAGAAGTAAGAGCTTTAAATTACATTTTAAGCATTTGGAATGGTTCGTCCACTTCTCTCTCACTTTTCTCTTAGATTCTGCTTTTCAGACTTACGCTTATTTTGGATTCTCTAACACACTTGCTGTGGGTCAGAGGTATCTCAAATATGGAGATAGCTTGTGTGTAACCGATTTGTGCTGTGTGATTTGGTTCTTTAACGCAGTCTTATTTCAGTGATCTATTAAGTGATCTATCAAGCTTTGTTTTGGTGGACAGTTACCTAAATTCTCTAATTTCTTCTTGACTGTCAGACAAAGCATGCATTTTAAAGAAGTCTTCCATATTAATCAGATTTCAAGTTTGGATTGTGTTTTCTGTGACAGTAATCTCACTTTTTCATCCTTTAAACAATTTCAGGATTTTTTAGACAGTTGTATGAAATTACTCGATTGCCAGTTACTCCTCCATACGGAGGACTTCCAGTTAAATTTCGTACCTACATTGGGAAGCCAATCCCTTATGATCCCAATATAACTACAGAGGAATTAGTTGAAAAGGTAAGTTAGCTCTCCTTCCAATATTGAACTACTTTGCCCTCTGTTGTATATGCACTTGAAACTAGTTTTTTGTATGCTTGACTAAAGACAAGTACACTTTTACTAGCTCATTAAAGCAACGGGCAGTTGAGCTCCAGGATTATTTAACGTACAGATACCTACATGTGAGCACTGACATAGTAAGAGTCGGTTGGGATGCCCTCATCCTTTCAGAATTTCTATCTTCTTGGGATGCTAACTTTGTTTCTCCCATGCCTTTGGTCACTTTGGTAACTGAAAAAAAATGATGTAAACTATGTTTTAAGTTCAGTTTTCAGTAACAGGAAAATAGTATAATAATAAAAAAATAGTAAAATAACGTATAACAAATACCTTTGAGAATCTTCTCTAAGTAACAGAAGGCTTTAGAAACAGTTCTACAAGAGCTTCAGTCTCGTTGTCAAAAGGAAAATGTTAAAAAAAAATAATTTGCATTTGAAATATAAAAATATTTTGAGTGCCTGCAGCTTGGTGAAATTGGTGGTGCCCAGGCGCATAAAAAACCATTTATAGATCCAGAGTTTAGGCATTTTTCAAAAAAGTTTTCATAGAAGATGAAAGGAGGGTTTTATGCAAAAAAAAAAAAATCCACTACGGCATAGGAATACACAGATTAAAACACTTGTTAGGAATCACAGATGTAAAAAAATGCCTTGCTGCCCCCAAAAATATGCAAGAAGGCTAGCTTTTCTTTTTTTTTTTTTTTCTTTTTTTTTTTTTTTTTTTTTTTAAGGATCAACTGCAGATTGTTCTGGGCTTCACAGCAGAAAGACAGGTTTGGTCTGTTACAAGGGAACTGCTCCAGCAAGCTCTGGAGTTTGGTCTTAGCACGTTCAGGAGGCTGGACACTATATTAGCGCTAAGACTGCCTGTACGGTTATCCATATTCTTGGATTTTGGGGGAACAGTATTTATGTGTATCTGCAAAACTGAAACTGAAATTTCCCATGACATTGATTTGCTTTATGAAGTCAAAGCCTTTGACCACCCACTTCAGCGGGAGTATGGTTAGGTCTTCTGTAGCTCTCATTAGTTAAAACAACTTAAATGGGGCTTGAGATGAGCAGTGGCCTGGCTGGCCTCTGTCTGATCCTGCCCTGGAAAGGAGGCAGGACGTGAATCTGTCAGGAAAGGTTTGGCCACTCTTTTCCCCTATTCCCAGGGATGTTCTACAATCACTCTGGGGTAGATCACAAGTACGTAGCTACCCTTATTTCAAGTTTAAACACATGAGGAAAAACTAAGGGGGATTATCTCTTATTATTTCTTCATGTTGGGAAGGACAGATGGAAGTCCCTACTCCATATTCCTGGTCCCAGATCAGATGAGGTTAGGCAGGCTTTATCCAGCACTTTTGATGAGAACCTTCAGGGATGGAGATTGCACAAACTTATGTTTGCATGTGTTAAAGGCTACTTTGACTTAGTAATGCCCTATTTTGATAAATTTCAGTAATTTCAGCCTATCCAAACTGTGCTGTCTTTTATATCAGCTAGTTGTTCTAACAACTGTTTTCTTAAACGTGTGAACTTCCCAATACCTCTTAAACCTCTGAGAAGAAGTCAGTGATAATACTGTCCTTCCTTGCATAAGCAGGTCTGTAAAGGCAACCTTCTCTTCTCTTTTCAGACAAAGACTGCCATCCAGGCTCTCATAAGCAAGCACCAAACAATCCCAGGCAGCATATGGAAGGCTTTACTGGAGCGATTTGATAAACGTCGTAAAAGTGATTAGAACGCTGATGTTTATTTCATTGTGTTTGCAGCATACGGTAAAAAACAACATCCTACAGCAATGGTGACTATTAATTGGTGTTCAACCAGGTTAATTTACAAGTTTCTACAGATACGACAGAAGAAAACAATTAACGTCTTGAAGGTTCCCCCGTGTCTTTGAGGGTACTCTGAAGTCAGACAACTTATGTACGATAGCAATGCAACAGCTAAATTCCCCAAAAGGAAATGATGTAGCCAGGATTTGCCTGGTTCCTAAAACAAGTATGTACATGCATCTGAGAGCCCCAGGAGTTTTGTCTAGATTTGTGATTTTATGTTCTGAGCAATTCACTGTCCAGTTTCAGAGCAGAACCGCAGAAGATAAACAGCTTCACTTTAACTAATGATCTACCGCTTAGACCATTTTTCTAGAGAGACTATACAAAGAGAAATAATCCCATTAAACCAGATATTAGACTCCTACAAACACATCAACTTTGTGGTTCAATACCTTGGAAAGTAGCAATGCTGCATCCAAGACTTTGCCTCAGCAGAAAAAAGAGAAGTCTCTCAAGGAGAGGAAAAAAGCTTTAGTTAAATCTAGCGCTATGCAAATACATGCAGAAAGTAGTTTCAAGTCTGAGCTGGTACATTCATGCACTATTGCCTCATACAATATTGGTTTAGTGGATGAGGTGGCACCCAGCCTAAGAATCCCTGCATCATCATGTGTTTGCAGGACAGATGTGCTGTACTCCCCCAGATCTCCCGGCGAGCAGGGAGCGGGGCTGGGGGTGAGTTTACGTGCATAATCCACCCCTGAGGCTTATCATCACTGGTGGTTTGCCTGAAAATGCGCTGTCCCCACAGCGATCAAACCCAAATGCCTGTTTGGAAAGGTGGACATAGGCAGCGTTGTCTTCCTAATACAACTTGCAGAATACTGAGTCTTGCTACAAAGCAGAATGTGTTTTTACAAGCTGGTGGGAATGGGAGAACTTTATGTAATCTATCCAATATGCCATTAAATGCAACCAAGCCTGTTAACTTCAAATACCACGAAGGGTAATTTTTGTGCTTCATTTTTCCTTCTTGTACTTTTAATACCTATATAATCCTTCCCCTCACATCCTAAAATTTTATGTAGCATCTAAGGACAACATTTGCCCGTTTTCACTAGAAAACAAAATCTACTCTTTGGATGAAAATAAATGCATTCTCTTCCCATGCTGCTTCTCCACAAATATTTCTTGCACATCTGGAGAACAGAGAAGGATGGACAGGTGAGTTATTTCCCTGGAGCAAAAAGACAAGAATCCTGTCCTAAAAAAAATCTCAAATCTGTCCTAAGACATAGGAGTGTTTACTTGAACACCTTAACTATTAATTGCTGTATAAAGCAGAAATATTTCTCTCCCAGCAGAGACTCAATAGGCACAGGAGATGAGAAGCTAAACCAAATGAAGATGCTGATTGATGTGCCTGGACATGAACAGGAATTCAAACCATGCAGTCTTACACAGTGCACTCCAAGAATATAAGCTAAAATTCAAAGTTGGAGCTTCAGTCGAGTGACAAAAGGAACTAATAGAAAGAGCTATCAAATATAGATACAGATGAAGAAGCAAGACGAACTAAGAGTAACTCAGCACCCTTCCCTGACTATCCTGTCCTATTTTTCAAGTGCATTAGCATCATCAATTAAAACACTTTAGTCACCTGAATTTGCACAACCTTTCGAACTCCATGCCCTCTGATACCTGATGCTGGGGCTGTGCTGCAATATGGAACAGAGCACTAGTCTTGGATAGGGGATGGGTAATCAGAGCACTGTTTATCTCTCAAAGCGGGGATTTGAGCCTCCATCTCCAGTATCTCAGGCAGCTGTTCAGAGTTTGCTAACAATGTTCAAGATTTTCCTGGGCTATTTCATCTTATAGCAGCATCCCTGGATTATCTGCAGTTTAGCTGAAGTGAGCTGGAGTAAAAATTAATTTCTATTACTTGTCTTGTGTCACACTTGTCTTAAGAGTATTTTCTGGTGTATCAAGGTGATAGACAAAATGATTACTGAGAGATGTGAGTGGTTTTGAATGACATATAAGACAGTGATTTTCTAATAAAAAAATTCAACCCATTTTTTCAAAAAACATTATAATACTGCTCTAATAAAGAGCAGTTATTATTATTTTAGAGGTCCCCTCTAAATTTTTAATCTTTTTAGAGCAGTATTATAGAAACGAGAACTAGAAGCTGGTATCATAGAAACTAGCAGAAGCTAAAGTTTCTTTTCATACAAAGAGAATTGCAACTGCAGGTCAGATCACTCCCCTGCTGCACATATTTTCTAGCCTCTTGGTCCTACAACAAAAGAGGAATGAAAACCAGCAAATGTGACCTCTGCTTGCCTCAAAAGGTGAGCATTTTGGGTATAGTTTGCCTCATGAGCAAGGTAAGGAAATCCTGTTCCTTAAACTTCTCGTGCCTAAGGTTTATCCAGCTCAAACGACCGGATTTTTGCAGTGGGGGAAAAAATACCTTACTGGTAACACTGGGAAAAGAAATGAATTGGACAAGAGAGCAACCGCAGAGGTCAAGCGGGCAGACGATGTCCAGGTCAAAGCCAGCCTGGCAGAAAAGCGAGATAGTAGAGGCCCCAGCGTGCTTACAGGCTTACAGCCAGCTCTGGCTTCGCTGATCCTGTGGATCCCTCCTGCAGCCCAGAGTCCGTACGGAATGCCAGAGGGCAGCCCCATACCTCGCCTGTCTGAA